TGCCGGTGTAATGATGAGGGGCGATGTACCACTCACGTTGGACACGGATCATTGGTACTCACCGCCGTTGAAAGATCGCGCGGGTAAATTAGCATACCTCCTCTCAAATTCTACCCAATTAGTCATCGATCATTTCATTCGACTCAAGGCTAAAGGGCTCAGGGAGAATCGAGGAATGTTCAGGAATTTTGATCAGGATTTTGTAGAGGGAATTGTATCGTGGTGTTGTCTGGGGTATTCGCGTATTTTTTTCTTTTATCCACTTTTTTAAAAAAAATTCGAGTAGTTTTTTCGATGTATGGGCTATTGGCGTAGACGTATCAATCGTAGTTGTTTATTAAATGAGTGATTAAAAAAAAAAATATTTTATCAAACGTCGATACATCGATCTTTGCTGTGTTGATATACTTCGTATTTTTCCAAATTTTGACTTATAAATGTTTGCGAAATTAACTTTATATTTTCGTCAGAAAGGACGTAAGGCACCGCAAATTTTACTTCTAATATTTATTCCGTGAGGAAGGACGTGGGTGACTTTAAATTTGTTCTCTGAAATGGCTAAAGTGGTTCTCTTGTTTCTAAATGACGTTAGTCATCCTCTATTACTGTATTATTATTTATTCACGTTTATTAGAAAGCACTAGAACTGTAGGTGTATTTGCCGAAAAGACTCAAGTGACACACTTTTTTGAAACGAAGGAAGTTCTCTTTTTACGCAGCGATGGCCAAAGTGCGACACCACGTCTCTCCATTGCGGTTTCTTAAACTTTCCGCTCCTGTTTTATTTTTTGAAAGAGGAGAAACAAGCCAACTTCATAGCTTGAAATTTGTAAAGGACTATTCTCTGCTAATAAAGAAGAACAATCAAGGACTTTTTCAGAGAATATCGACGGTGAAACTACCAAACCACGTATCTCGGTTCGCGACGTCGCAGACTTCCTGTCATTCTTTATTTTTTAAATGAAAAACTACTTAACGTCCAGTCTTGAAAATTTCTGTGATTTTTCCTCTTTGTGCGGAGAAAATTCTGTGAAAATTTCAAGGAATGATATTGATTTGGTCGACTTCAAAAAAATAAAATGCGAGCGTAGATTTTTAAACACCGTAAACGAGATACGTGGTTTGGTAGTTTCACCGTCGATATGTTGTCTACTGTAAGTCTGTACCGTCGTAAACGGAGATACGTGATTTCACACTTCGGCCAGCGATATTCCGTTTCATTTTTGTCAAAAATGACGATTAAGTAAACCTACGTTTCAATCTAAAAAGGACCAAAGTAATACTCTTCCTATAAACGACGTAAGTCATTAAAGAGAACTTGAGGTATTTTCAGTTTTTCCTCTGAAATGACCCAAATGAAAAAAGCGCTGTTTTTCTGTACATATGGCAACTTGACCCGCGCTCTAAGATCCGTCGTCAACCGCAAACCTCACAACTGAGCACCGCCCGCTCACCCGGATGTGCATCTGGACCCATCACACCTCGAATTATCTCATAGAAAATGCCAAGATGCTTTCCGCTGACTGGGCATGTAACTAGAGGTGGATGGATATTTCTGCGCTCATATTCGAGGAAACCGCCTTTAAACGAGGTTGTGCACACCCTAGGAACGAGCGTTGAAAGTTCACCGTCCTGCTTCTGCCGGAAGCCAGGATTTTGCAACAGGGTGACCTACGATTATTTACGACTATGAAGGAGTCGATTCTTTGGGTCAAAGAAAGATGATTTTCTGGTATAACTTTTTTTCCAAAAACATCTTCCGTGGGGGCCCCATTGTCCCCCTACTATCCCTTATCTGTCTCTATTAGCTCGAAAACGATTAATCAAAGCGAAAAAACGCGAGATTTATTTGCTTTCCAACGCTGAAACTAGTGGTGCCACCAGAAATCATGTTTTGTCACTAAAAACATTAAATTTGGCCTTTTTTAGGTTCGATACCCCCTACCCCCCCCCCCTTAAAATAAGTTTCCCTTTTTTAGAGATCTAAAATTAAAAGAGCACTAAGAATTACCCACAATTAGTTCACAGTGTTAAAAAGTCGATTTTTTTTCCAACTTTGGGGGGCCAAAAATGTCAACTAGAGTCAACAATTTTGAGCTCTAATGAGTACTAACAGTATATTTGTACTCATAGAGCTCAACATTTTTGGTTCTTTAGGTTAAATAGTTTTTTCTTTTAAAAAATCTGAGTGCGCTGAGATCCGCTCCTCTGAATAGCATCCACATATTCGTGGCAACCACGCTTCTAATGTCAATAGGACGTATTTCTGCCAAACGGAATTATGTGAATTAAGACACGAGCCCTGAGACCCATAAGAATATTTGCTTATCAGGGCTCACGTCATAATGCACTCGGTCCTTTCGGCAGTAATACGTCCGATATATCCGCGGCGCATTACTTAATTAAACTATTATTCGACGAACGTCCGAGGCTTGAAATTTCTCCCGGACCACGCAACACTTTCGCCATTGACAAAGCCTCCCCCTCTCCTCCTTCACGCGGGGATATGCGGGGGGCGGGGGTGGAAGGGGCCTGTCCTCGCATTAACCATTGCGAAATCAAATTCTCAAAACGCCGGGCGTTTTGAATGGGCGCCGGGCGCTTCGAGACACCGAGACAGGAACAAGAATCATGGAGCCCCGTCTATCGATTGGGGTCATCCGCCGATCTCCTTTGGTCCTGACTCTCGTCAGACACTATATTTCAGATTCCGACGCACATGCACTTACAGTAGCACTCGTGCCAGCATGCTGATTATTGAGATTGATAGACAAAGTGACAGACGGAGAGGACATAATGAATATGGAGCGATACTTCTGGTTGGAACGGATGATTCCTGTTGACTAAGGGAGCACTTTTTTCCAACAAAATTTCACTTCCAGCAGTCTTCTTTTCTCACCCGCGTTGAAGTCTCTCCGAGTGCCCGCTGAAGCAACACAGCCCCCGGTCCATCGCAGTGTCTTGTTTTTATAATCTGAGGAAACTTACTTACCCCTCTTCCTTGTCTTTTTCTCCTTTCTCTTCTTCATCTTTTTCCTCCTCCTCCTCCTCCTCCTCCTTTTCCTCCTTCTCCTCCTCTTCCTCCTCCTCTTCTCCTTTTTCTTGTACATCTTTCTCTACTTCTATGAAAGTCGCTTTCATAGCGCTCTCTTCGACAACTAGCTCGACAACTGCGAGTGCGCAGAAAACTTTCAAGAGCGGATGTTGAAACTTTCGAATTGTTGGTATCATCTGGACATCAGCAGCTTTCGTTTGCAACGAAAACCAAGGAAATCGGCCTGGCGGTTCCTCAGAATTAAGGATCCAAGGTTTTGACCCTTCCAGTTTTATTTTTATAGATAAAGCATGATAGGAGTCCAGGCCAATTAATATGCAATTAGGGAGAGTTTTGTTTTATCCATCTGGTAGATGTTATGTTTTATCGTCCCGGAAACGAAGAAATTTCGGAACTGAGCCTCAAACGTGCAAAAAAGTGCACATTTCCGGGCGCGAAGCGACAACCCAGAGCTGCGGATCACAGATCATTGATCAACTCATCACTCATTTCGTCGCTGCGACCCGACACTGCCTCCTCTGTTCCGTTGCCTCTTCACCCCCGGCACCTCCATCCTCGGCTCCGAGATGCTTAAAATTGCTCCTCGTCTCGCGTCGCCGAACGAATCGCACCTCCCCCGCCCCCACCCCCCCATCCAC